GACCTCCCTAGAAGAATCACCTGTACGGCGATGACATCAGGGTCGAACTCGGAGACGAACTTAGAGAACTCGGACCAGTCGTTTTTCACCCGAAGGAGGAAACTATTGGCGTTCCACGTCAGAAACTTGGAGGGCTCGTTCTGGTTCTTCCCTTCTTCAACTCCGTCTTCGTCCCCGTCGCGCTTTTCCGGCGAGATGCATGGTTTCTTAGCCGCCGTTGAGCCGTCTTTCTCTATGGGCTTGAAGAATCGCTTCATAGCTTACCAATTTCGTCCCCTTCTTCCTCCTTATTTCAATCAAAATTAAAATGACAATTTGAAAAGAAAAGAAAAGGAAGAAACTTTATGTCAAAAAGATTCAGGCTTTGGTTTTGGTGTTTAGTCACAAAAGCAAACCTTTTACACAGTAAAACCCAAAAAAAAAAGCTCGGAAGCCCAAAACGTATATTACAGAGTGTTTTTTCTTCTTTCCATAATGTATAATCGAATTATTTATATGTTTTTTACATGAATGCTTCTCTTCACTATACATTACACAGCAATGTTGAGATAGAAACAATTAAAGATCACTTCTCAAAGGGGTTTGTAATTTTAACTAACGAACTGTTTCTGTAGAAGACTTCCACAGAATGCCAAATCAAATCTTTCCTCCGGAGTGTCTCCAATGCAGTCGAAAACCGCGTCTGCGTTCACAAAATCTTCATCCGCCGTGTATCTGCAAATCCAAAGATGAATAACCATTTCAGTTCTGGTTGATATGAAACTGTGAATGAGATTCTGATATTAGAAGAAGACTCTTTACTAAAGTCACTCACCCACTCTTTGTAACTATACAAGTCATTCCCGCAGCTTTTGCAGCTGCTAGCCCGATCGCGCTGTCTTCAACCACAACACATCTGCACACACACACAGTGCCAAATCTTTAGAAGAGTTTCTAAACTGACTTCTTCTCATGTAAAAAATCTTTGTAACACTTACTTTGAGGGATCAACTCCAAGGGTTTCAGCTGCTAAGTTGTAGATTGCCTGTTAAACAAAAGTTCGATCACTCGTCTTTAACCAAGATGAAGCAAGCAAACTTGTTCTGATAGAATTGACGGTGAGTAAATTACCGGGTCAGGTTTCTTTTTAGGGACAACGTCTCCTGCGAATATCTTGATCTTCTCTGCTCGTTCTGGTCCAAGCAAGCATGAAACTATAGCAGAAACCTGAGATCAGGCCAGAATGAGAAAAAAAGTTGATTCACATTTCCCTGCTTCCAATAAGATTCTATACATTTCTTGTAACTCAAAAGATTCCCCGTAGTTGAGAACATTCTGGTTAACAATGCAGCTGCGTATATCTTTTAAGAAACTGAAGTAGTAGAACCTTATTGATCATACCGCCTTCTCATTTGAAGTGCTGCACACAGCGACTTTTACTCCATTCGTTAGAGCTTGATCAATCAACCTGCAAAGTTATAGCAAGAAGGCTCAGTTAACCAGAACCTACTAGATCGCACGCAGCGAGATTCAATAAAATTCTAAGAGAAACCAGAACGTGATTACTAGAAATAGCTAGCCTTAAAAACAATTCATAGCATCAGGAGAGTCCATCAAACATATTCTAAATTACCTAAGCCTAGTTTCGGTTATAAGTTTCACACACTGAAACTTTAAACAAAAGAGGGATATTCAACAAAGACGCTGCATCAAAATCAAGTGACATGCTCAAGAACATAGATAGTGACCCTACTTGGCAACACCGGGTCGAAGGGGAAGCAGTTTTTTCTCAATGAGAACCATGAATAGCTCAGTCTTCTGCTTGTGAAGCCCAGCTATGAACACTTTCCTCTCTTCTTCATCCTTTGGAGCTTTCTCTGGCCAACCTACCTTGTTAAAATACGCAGTCATCCTGCAAAAACAAGCCATCTCAAATCAAATAAATTCCAGTTCCACTATCAGAAGATTCACTTCAACTCCAATTTTGGTTTTAGCTTATAAAGTCTATACCTTTCTTTTCCACCACCGATTTTCAGAAGCTCGCCGTACAAATCGACATCCCAAGTAACACCCAAATCTCTCTGCCAAATTTCCAAAAATCATCACCAAAAACTCAAATCATTCATCACCGGAGCGGAGAACTAAGGAACATAAATCGGAAACCTCTTTGAAAGTGTCGTTGAAGGAGATCCTGTGACCGTCTTTCTCGGTATCAACAAGCACACCATCGCAATCGAAGAGGAGAGCAGAGGGAAGAGTCGTCGTCGCCGGAGAAGATGAAGCAGAGCAGGTGATTTTGCCGGAGCGAGATGCAATGGATTTGATCGGTTTTGCTCTCAGGCACTTGCCCGTGAATCGCGACTTCGCAGCCTTTCCCGGCGAATGTGTCGCGTTGAGGATGAAAGACGCCGCCGATAACTTAGAATGAGCT